TCTAATGAATGACATCAGTGTCTTTATTAGTGGCTCCAATAAGCTGCCCCCGAGGGTGCAGCAGGAAGACACCATCCTTCTGTAAAGAACAGGCCCCCACCAGACACCAATCTGCTGGCACCTTCAGGAGGTACTTCTTAGCTTCCTGAACTGTGAGAAATAAAACCTTTTGTTTTCAATGACCCAGTCGAACAGCAGCCCAAATGAAGTGAGGCAGAACTGAACAAAGACTGCAAACGACTTCTCTATTCATCTAACACTAGTTACCTGGTGAAATATGGACCATTGAGATCCACTGCCATTATAAATGACAGCATTTAAAGGTCTTTATGGCCATTCTCACTCCTTTCCTAGACTGGTCTCCGTTGTTTGCTGATCCCTATTTGATGATTTTAGCAACGATTTGCTAAGGTAAATCATTCTTTAGCAATAATTTCAGTTTTATCAATTCATCCTAAAACAGCTCCCCTGTCCCTTCTTGGTTCTATTGTAATATAGAGCTGGTTGTAAGCAATTTATCAATGTCACTTCCAAGGATCATCATAACTTTTCATTCAATTTATCTTTAAGGTCTACTTTCTTTTTTCCACACATATGACCAAGCATATTTTATACATAAAATAAACGTGATCCTCTTATAATTTTACTATAGGCTAGGTTGAGAGAACCTCTAAGAACTCACCTATGGAAAACTCACCTTTTCAAACATCTTCCACCTTTTTTTATATATATACCGGTGATTAAACCCAGGGAAGCTTAACCACTGAACCACATCTCCAGATTTTTTTCATATTTTATTTTAGAGACAGGGCCTCACTGGGTTGCTGAGGCTGGCTTTGAACTCACAATCCTCCTGAACCACTGGGATTACCAGCATGCACCATCAGCCTGGCAAGACCTTCCACTTTTCAAGGTAAATTATAATCATTCTTTTAAATTGTTAAGGTAAATCATAACTGTTTATTTAAAAAGCAAAATCCCTCTTATCAAAAATGTAAAGTACATTTCAAAATATTTTAGCTGGGTAATGTGTAGTTCTGAAAACTATCCATGATAAATACATATTTTCTAGACCCGTGATTTATTTTATTCCTATAAATTCAATTTTAATATTTCAATCAATTTTAATCGATATTTTCTCAACTGGTCAGAAAGACATATTATACATAATGCCATCATTCATGGCCTTACTGAAGTGATCTTTCAGCTGTAGAATTGCAAAATTAAAATATATTAATATTTGGGGAAAATTTGGAGAGATAAATGAAACAATCTATGTTAATATTTTTCTGTTGCAAGGGGAGAGAGCACACTAGTAAGGGTGAACCATAAGCCAATGTGCACATCCTCCACTGAAGTCAAACAAAGCAATGTTTCGCCTTCTCATTCCCACACTCACTCTGTAACACGAGTCCTTTTGCAGTGCAGTTAGCGCTCTTTTCTGTTTTTGATTTTTGTTTCTTTCTTTGTTGAAGTCTTTTTTGGTTTTTTGTTTTGGGTTTTATTTTTCATTTTCGTCTTTGTTGTGAGTGATTTTGGTTTCTGTTTGATTGGCAGTGCTAACCATCTGAATCTGGAGCTTCAAGGGTGCAAGACAAGTGCTTTACCAACCCTTATTGGTGATTTGGCTGATTAAAATGGCCCCAGGCACAGTGCTGAGATGCTGTCTGGTGCTGAAGTCAGGCTGGGTTGTGCCTTAGGGAGAAAGTAACAGTACATGTGCTAGAGAGCCGCCACTCAAGCTTGAGTTTTGGTGCTGTTGGCATGAGTTCACAGCTAATGAACTAACAGTACATATTTAATAAGGTATCATTAGACAAAATCGCATAAAACAAAGTTACATATTGACCAGTTGATGAAAATCTCGTAAGCAGGCATACAAAAACCTAACCCTGCACTTCCCTTAGAAGCAATGGTTCAGTATGCACTAATTCAGTGTTCACAGCAACTTCACAGAACATAACTGCTGTGAGCAATAATGCACCGTATTCTACTGGGATTAGTCACTGGTTAAATTTGACATTCACGTTACAACATATATGATCTGCTGTTTGTTTATTGTACAGAATGATATCTTAAGTTCCCAATTTCAATGTACAAACATCTTCATTATGACAATTGCTCTGAAATAACTAATATTTAACAATGCAATAGAGCTGTAGAATTGCTACATTGTAGAATGTGATGAACTTAAGTGTACTTCCTGCCAGTTTAGGCATGTGGCCAGTTGAAATTTTTAAATTATGTATTCTTATTAAAAACTATCCACTTGAAATAAAAATAGATTTTTCTAAAACCCTCTATAGGTATAAAATTTAGGAGATTTATCAGGTGTAACAAAATGACAGAAAAAAAACTCTGAATCTTTGTTATTTTTTTCTACCTTATGCATTTTTTTTATTCTGTCTATATTATAAACTCTTTGAGGATGAAAAATGAAATGAAAATTTGCAATATTTATTATGGATTCTAAAAAGCAGGCCAAATGATAGGTAAAAATTGTTGTGCCTTAGGGAGAAAGTACAGTATGTGTGCTAGAGAGCCGTCACTCAAGCTTTTAAATGTATTTACTCTGAATTTATTTGGTATGATTTTTAAGATAAATGTAATGTTTTCAGCAAAAAAAAGATAAAGGAACCAAACTGCATCGTATTTAATACCATCA